ACGATTTTGAAGTTGGAGGAGAAAATGAGATGGGAGTTTTTAGACCTACCCTAACTGTTTCGAACGGGACTGCACGGAGTACGCATGCGCATTGCAGTGCTACACAAGACAAGCGTTTGAGGTTAAAAAGTATATAATATTTATTCTTTTTTTAGAAAATGACGATCGTTTCGCTAGATAAGACCCTTATTCCTCATCTGGGATCGTGTAGAACGCTTTGAAGCTGCACTGAAACTGCAATTTGGACCTTCCACCCAGTGAACCCCACTGAAGTCCACTATATAGAGAAAAACCCTGGAATGTTTTCCTCAAAAACCTTAATTTCTTTTCGACTGAAGAAAGACAGACATGAACATCTTGGATGACATGGGGGTGAGAAAATTATGAGGAAATTTTAATTCAGAAGTGAACTAATCCTTTAAGCGGCCACAAGACAGCAGTACCAAATCAGAGCTGACCTGCTAAAGTAGAAGATTGCCTTATTACTAATGGTGTGTGCTTTACTCACTGACGCAGGCGGTTGAGAGAAGCCGGGTGGCGATGAATGGGGGCAGGCAGTTAGGGAAGGCAGGCTGCAGCACATAGTTGGAGAAGGTGAGCGCAATCACAGCCAGAGTCGTTGGGTACATAATCAACACAGCACTCCACAGCAACAAGAACCTGTGAAAACACAAACAAATGGCCATCTTTATCATCACCAATACAAAACAAACACTGAATTCCGAGTAGTGTTAGTGTTGCATCTGAGCGAGCAAGTGAACACATGTGAATCTCCCTGAGAAGTTCCCTTGTGTGCTTCACACACAAACTGAGACAACCACATTGACATTTAGGCATTTGGCAAACACTTTCATCCAAAACAATTCATACTGCATCTGTTCATGCATTTCCTGGGAATCGCTCCAATGACCTTGGCATTGTTAGTCCCATGCTCTGCTGTTTGAGCTAAATGAACACTGAGTGTACCACTCTGGAGGGCAACAACAGACCTACCCCACCAGTCCCCCGAAGATCTCAGTTACGTATGAGTAGTCTCCACCTGATTTGGGAATGGTGACGCCCAACTCGGCATAGCAAAGAGATCCCAAGGCACAGATCCCTCCTCCTAGAACCCACACGATGAGTGAGAACCCCACACTGCCTGCATGATCTAGAACCCCCTTTGGAGAAATGAAGATCCCTGAGCCAATGATGTTGCCTGAGAAAACAAGAGAAACAGCAATGGGTTGTTTAGTATATATTGTTCATATAATCTAAAATAAATTACATTACTGGACTGAATTATGAGGCATTCACCTCAGGACATGATTGGTTTTCTGTATCAGAAATGAATAGACATAAAAAATCTTATTGCCAATTGTACTAAGTGCATGGGAATATTTAAGTGAGATTTCGATTATGCTGTCTGTCTCATGCTTTTATATCAGTTTCTTACTTGAAATGTCTTTTTAAAAAATATTTGTAAAAATCTGCAATCTTGTGGTTTTTTTTCAGTGCAAGACAGTGTGTCCTAAAAGAACTGTCCTTGCAGCTGTCAAAACGCGGCTGCACATTCCAGGCAAACGGACACGATAAATAAGATCAGCAATGTTAGAGTCAACATCAGTTGCGAAATCGAGATGAGAGTCCAGTATCCAGTAAAAGGTAAATGTTCTGCTTCATGGCATATACATCTTAGGCAAACCACCCTGAGCATGTGTAGTACCTGAATTATTATGCCTCAGCAAACTTAAACAAAAGAGTTTCAATTATATGAGGCTCAGCCACAGTTATGGGCCGAAGCATTATGTAATCCTTTTGAGTTCTCTCTTTGTCTGCGGGTGTTCGCATGAATTTGGTAGTATTGTGAGTGGATGTGAATGTTTGCTCCCAGCACCTCAGAACTGCATAAAGGATAAGGTAATGAAGTTGACAAGACAGAACCCAGCGCATCTCAAAAAATTCAGTCAAATGAGGCTCAAAGTTCCTGAATGAAGTTCATGGGGTCACACTACACCACACTTGACTCTGACTGGTCGTACAACTCACAACATAACAAAACAATGTCCACGTGGCTGATTAACAAAAGTATTAACTCCCCCTTGTGCCAGTTCCAAAATTTACAGTGCTGTCACTGGGATTTCAAAACCTTGTCAACTTTAAGTACATGCTGTCTAAATAAAAAGTGTTCCTTTCATGTCATTTGCTGTCATTAAATTGCAGTGTATATCATCATGATTTCAGGCCATTGGTTACCCTGCTCTCTAGATATGGGTATTGGCATCAGCTATTGACAAACTCATTTCAGTCAACCACTAGTCCACTAGTTTAATTAATTAAAGATGTGATGGGGTAAATGAGGTTTCATTGTGTCCACATTACTTAAAGAAGTATTAAAAAGAAGACAAGAAACTCCATTGGCGAAGAATTGTGTAAAGTAACTGATAAAATTTGTCATTGACCTTGAGTAATATCAGGAGGACATTCTAGAACAGAGAAACTTTCCCATGGTCAGAAGGTAAACAAGTCACCAGTTAAATTTCAGCAGTTATTTTGCCTCTAGGAAATCCTTCACAAGGATGAATCTGCAATTCTATACTCTATATTTAAAGGTTCTTGTCAGATTCATGTCAAACATTTAAAGTGGTGAAGGGCTGTGAACAAAATTGTGTCAGCCTTACTATCTATAAAGCCACAAAACCATAAACATAACTGAAATCTACAGATGCACCTGTATGTTAATGTTCCACAGGAAAATCATAACCAAAAACCTTAATTTTGTTTATACAAAACCTCAAAGAGAAAGACTAGTTATACTTCACATAAAAATAAAGACATATATATCATCATCAATACAGTGACTATACATACACACAAGAGGATTATTCATTGGATGGACGTGCCCAGCACACTAATGATAAAAAGGTGGTTTAAAGTCTGTTTTACTTATGTTTAATTTTGACGATGCTGTACAGTACCTAAGAAAATTTGCATTTGAATTGTGATGTATCTTCCTGTCCAAAGCTCATTTAATCTTACACCATGATTTACTGACTACAATGAACACGTTCATCTTGCAGTGTTGATAATCCTACAGATACATGACATAGACTACACGAGACATATGCGTTTGCATCTAAAGCAGCAATACGATCTTAAATACTTAAAAGAAAGTCTACACTTCCGCCTACTTTAATTCTATATTTCCACTGCAGTGTTTAGCAATGGAGTCTTGTATGGTGGGTTTGTTCGGGGCACGTGAAGGACACCGTGTAGTGGGTTGCGGCCACGTAAGCGTGGAGTTGAGTTTCAGCCCGATTCTCTTCCTCAATGATGCAATCCGCGCTCTGATGAACAGAGTCTGATGGAGAACTGTAAGTAGCGGCATGGCATGAGACGCTCTTCTCTACGGAAACCAAGCAATGCTGTTTGTCTTCACTTGGAAAGCTGGACTGTTGTCCTAACAAAGTAAGACAGCCGTACAGTGTGACGATATAAGTTTGGACACGAGTTTTGAGACCTAGCTTTTTAATACTTTATTTTTCACCACAAACACTCGACATTTAGAGCGAGCGCATTTCAGAGAGCAGATGTGGACAGATATCATTAAAGAGAAGGAATATGAAAGAGTGAGGGCAGAAGATTGAGATAAAAAGCTGAAAGAGAAGAGCGCACGCGTTATACTGAATACAAGGAAACATCTCACCTATAATTATGGCGCACGCGCTCAGGAGACCAATTTCTTTTTTAAGAGTCACTCTGTCCTTAGATCCACTTTGGTTTCCTCCGGAATCTAACATCTTCTGTTGCTCCATTTTCGCGCGGTTTCTCCGGTTCGTTTCGGTTCCATCCATTCGTGCGGCTGTTCAAGAAAACTGCATCTGTATCCGCGCCCGGTCTCATATAGCGAGTTGATGCAGGGCTCCAGGCGCTCACGCATGCGCAGAGCTCCTGCTGTCTGCCTCCATAAAGATCAACAGGTTGTGCTGTTACCTGCACCAGGCGCGAGCAAAGAGCGGGACGCCTGTGGCATTGCAGCACCTCAAAATCATAGCGTTTATGAATGCTGGCATTGACAGTCAAGTTGTGTTGGAGTTGAGTGTGGGTTATCAGGAACGGTTGGAAAAAGAGTGGTATTGTAGGTTTAGAAGTTCTTGGAGCTTAATTGTATCAATACTTTTGTGTTGACTGCCTGTATGTGGGTCTGAGTGTAGTTCACATATAACTGTGGCATTGCAGCACCTCAAAATCACAGCGTTTATGAATGCTGGCATTGACAGTCAAGCTGTGTTGGAGTTGAGTGTGGGTTATCAGGAACGGTTGGAAAAAGAGTGGTATTGTAGGTTTAGAAGAAGTTCTTGGAGCTTAATTGTATCAATACTTTTGTGTTGACTGCCTGTATGTGGGTCTGAGTGTAGTTCACATATAACGTTTTTATTTTCTTGTTTAATTCAGCTAAACAAAATTCCACCATTTTAATTAATACCATTTTGATATCACTAATTCAAAATTATCCTGCGATGTAACATGCAATTTTATATTCCATGTATTCTCAGTATTAATAATTAGCTACTACATCTACAATAGTTATAGAAATAGTATACAACCAAAAATTATATTTTACATTACAGTTTTTTACAATCATTTTTGCACTAATAACACATGTCATTTTTCAAAACTCTAGACACATAATTCACAACCGGTGATTAAAATGCACATTTTTCAAAACACTTAACACTTTTTCCCAATTGCTTGGAAACAATACACATGAACCAAAGATCTTTTGTTCATTTAACTAAAATCACTGTTCAAAATGACACAACTTCACATCAAAGTTTTACTATTTCAAAAAGCATCTCACACATTACATCTGAATTGAGTGTCTATTCATTTCATTACAATGATCTAACTATCAGTTATCACAACTGCTCAAAATGCTAAAACTGTTGCATTACTCTTAAAGCATAATTTGTATGGAAAATTATGAACAATACTAAATGTTTAGATTATGAAATTGAAGCAACTGAGGACTGAGTATGATCAGGTAGGATCAGTTTCAAGATGCCTGTTGTTAGGAGAGAAAAAAAATTCTATATCATTGTTACAGTAATAAGCCTATAGCACATCAAATCACAACCCACTGCTAAAACTACTTGAAATTTCATGTCATTGTGTTAATGTAGGCTACTAACCTGTGTCATGCTTTCACACACACACACACACACACACACACACAGACAGACAGACAGACAGACAGTTCTTTCATTATATCCTGTAATTGGAATGACTCAAGTAGTATTACACGTTGTGTTAAACCTTTAGTTGACAGTGCCACCCACTGTTTCCGCTCTTTGGGGTTTTGATGTGGTTTTATGGGTGTTAGGAGGAGTGATCTCAAATTTACATTGTTTCGATATATGTATCCATGTGTGTGTGTTCATGTTTTTACTGAAGTGGTGTGATATGACAATGTGGACTTTCAATATGGACGCTGTTTAAATTAAATAAAAATTTGCATAAACATCATTGTGAACTGTCTTGAGACAGTTGAGAGCATGAAATCAAAGTGCTCAAAAAGATCAAGCACTGGTTTAAGTGGTTTGGATTAAGACAAGACTTGAAAATGGTGCAGGAATTAAAAAAAAACGCATTCTAGTTAAATTGGGTTATTAGGAAAGCCTGGTTACCTTTAATTACATTTAGAGATGTGGACACACTAACCTGAATGTATGTTTTTTTTATGATCTTAAAAACCTGTTGATGAAGGTTTAAATGTTTAAAATGTTTTTGTATGGATTTTATTTAAATGGGTACTTTTAAGAGACCAAAATATAAGATGTATATTCATCATATTTTTGCTCAGGGATTGATTTTAATGACTAGGCCTATATGTATATAAATTTCCCCCACAAACAGTGCAGAAATATATATATATATATATATATATATATAGTTTTTCTGCACTGTTTGTGGGGAAAATTTGTGCAAAATATTTCAGTATGAAGAAATGATTAAACACATGAAAATTTAAAAAATGAGCCAAACATTTATTATGTGAAAACACAATGTGTAGGGTTTGTAGAACAGTGCATGTAAAATTGTCTATGTGAAATTCTGTGAAAATTCTGTGAAGAAGAAGAAGAAATATTCATCATCAAACTCTCTTCACTTCTCTAGACCTGATTTGATACAATCATGCCTTTCTTTGTGAGTGAGTGGAAAACAAAAGAAATCCCAAAAGATCCTGTTTTTTTGGATGTGGCCCTCTGGTGACTGAGTGTGTAAAGTGATACTGACTGTTATGGGGTACAATGACACCTGAACAACCAATTATTCTCTTTAGATGGAGCTTGTAACTGATCTGCTTGTACATGTTGAGATCTTTTGTAAAATGAATGTGCTGATGATATCTTATTATTTATTACTCTTTTGGTAAACGAATAGTGTCAAAATTAAATTATTTCATCCCTCTAATTAAATAAATTAGAGAGATAAATCTGAAATGAAAGATGAAATAAAGAGTAAAATCAATAATTATTTTTATAATATATTGATAATGTAATGACAGAAACAAGAAAACAACGCTGAGAACTATTATGTGAACTGTAAACTTTGGATATTTCAGAAAATGAGTGAAGACTAAGAGTAGTTAAAAAAAATAGGAAATTAAGAGGGTTTTATAGGCCTGAAATGCAAACCAGTGTAAGGTGAACATGAGGAGAAAGAAAACACAGGACACTGTGTGTGTGATGGAGAGGACATATCACAGCATTTGAAGACACTCTCATTCTGAATTACTAACTCTTGGGAGCTGTGAGGACGGAAGCTCCGACCCATATATACAGTGGTCTTTGCTCTCTCCTTCAGGTTTAATTAAACCTATAGAGCTTATAGTCATTTAAATATTTGGAAAAAATTAAATATAATAATAAACATATTACATCATATAAGACTCTAGAGACTGTAAAAACCTCATAGTATCACCAGAAGAGCAACCATTTGGACATACAGAGTGGAAACCTTTATTCTACCGTCATGGAAAATTTTATCAGGCGTCTAAACCGAATAGCTGTATCTCCAGATATGGTTCACTATGTGAGTCCATGGATGGAGAGGAAAAAAAAAACAATGCATTTTTCCCTCTTGACATTTCCATCCTCTTAGCAGTTTTAAGTGAATATACAGGGGCTGTTTTAATGGTTGAGACACTTCCTGAACTCTAATAGTCTAGATTGCCAGTACAGAATGCATCTGTGTTTGGGAGACTGGTGGACCCAACGATTCTGTCATCAATCACTTTGTCTAATGTTCAATGTAGCTGGTGTGACACACAAACACTCTCTCCCATACATGCTCACTTCCATACACATGGACACACATGCGCGCGCGCACACACACACACACACACATTAATTATACAATCACAACTTTCTATGCCAATCCCCTTCATCCCCCATTCTCACAAACACACACACACAAACAATTTTTTTTTCTTAACAGACCAAATAGGAATCCTTGAAATTTTACTCAGATCATTTCACTGCCTCGAATGGTCTGCCATTATGGATCACAAAACATAATTTGTCCAGTGAGCAGCTAAAGTTCTTGGGGTGAGGTCTATGGCTGCATAGCAACTAAACTCTGCACCAGCCATGAGCGCTTCTCTGTTTCCACTGATCTGAGGTCAGTTTAACATGACATTTCTCACTCTCAGCCCATTCAGAGCAGGAAAAGCACTGCCTCACACTCAGCTTTGTGCCTAGCCGAATAGAGGAGAGAAATGAGCGGAAACCTGTTGTTGTAAAAGTCATTCAGGCCCAGAGGAGGAACTCCTCTCTCTAAAAGTAGTCCGGCCTCCCTTACAATAAGTTGACAGATCGTCACTCTCACTCACAAACACTTTTTGACTGATTATTTATGGGTAAATATTGTCATATTTGCTTACGCTTCGTATTAACATAGTTTTACATTTTACTGCACATTCACATTTTAGTATTTATTATTATTATTATTATTTACTTGGGCGGCATGCCTGATTAATGTTATTTTAATGGGAAATGTTCATCTGAATTCTTGAGTGGGCGATTCCTGTGATTCTTGAGTCTTTTGTACGCTTTTTGCTCCATCTAGTGGTGTACTTTATTAGAATGGAAAGAACCGCACATCTGACTCTCAGTAGGCCTGGAGCTAGACTTGGTGGAATGTTCCACATTACAAAGTCTAAAGTAACAAAAAACATCTGCCAGGCTCACACTATCAGCAGCATTAAACAAAGATGTTCATGTAATAGATCTCAGAGTGGAGAACGCAGGCCTGAAGATCATAGTGAAGGTCTGTGGTGAGGCCATTTTCAGTCATTAACCAGTCATGGCTCTCCCATTAATCACAATTTTGATTACCCAGAGTGGTTTTAATGCAAGAAAAATATGAACAACAGCATTTCAAATTAAACTGCAAAATCTAGTTTATGTTTCTTCAGTGTTTTATTACTGTAAGCATTCTTTTATCCATTTTATTTTTTTATGGTTACAGTTTTTCATGCATAAAAAGCACATACTACAGTGTTGGCAGGAAGCATATTTTATTGATGTGGTTACCTGAGCAGCAGAGTGCTCTGTAAAGGAAACCTGAGATCCGTGATGAAATAGTTTTTTTAAATGAGGGCATACCGACATGGCCAAAACTGTTTGTCAATGTTACATTTAATCAAAACAATGGTATCATAAATTGTGCTTCTTCAGCTCATATACAGAGGTTTTCCTGCATTGAAAATATTTTGGCGGCTGCATTAGTTTAAGAGTGTGGAAATGCAATTGCTTTTCATTAAGGATCTGTAAAAATCATGCCACAGTGAAAAGCAATGATGTCATTATTACTTATCTGTCTATATATGTACTGTATATATTATCTACTGTATATAAGGGATCTTATCTATCACTTATCTTGTATCTACACTTTGACATGTAATCTGCTCAAATACATTGGAATTCAATCTTCAATGTAATGCTGTGCACTGTCAACTTTAAGTATGAGAACATTAACAAAGCCCAATAACTTTTAGTGCATAGAAATGCACATACAAAGAGGTCATATTTTTCTTGTACTATCTTATTCAAAGATGCTATGACAGAAGAAGGAAACAAAACTTTTCTCTCAATCGAACAGTAATACTTTTGCAAGCATTCGGCAGGAACTGTTTAAATTATTTTATTTTCATTCTTCACTTTCATTTCAAAACTTTCATTCTTTTGTAGAAGCCCTGTCTAAATCATTTAATTTTGTTTGTACAAAACAAAAGTTTATGTAGAAGCCCTGTGGTGTGAGTTGTGGCAGATTTAACTGATCTGTTAAAGTGCATCTTTCATCTCTTTCAGGGACTTTCTAAAACTGTTAAATCCAATTACGCATTCTCCTGGATTGGAGGAGGTCTTAAAAAAAAATATAGAAAACATTTGACAAGTTAAATTAATTTGTAATTCATATACAGTTAAGATCAGAATTATTGAAAAATATGAACAAAGAAGATTGTGAAATAAATCAGATTTTTCATTCAAAAAAGACGTCAGTTTGACGGCAAAAAAATGGTCAAATATGCAAATTAAACTGATGTCAAAAACTTGACGTGACATTTATTTGATGTAAATTGATCAAACATATTGGCCTACATATACTGTACATTAAACCAATTTCAGTGTGGGATTAACTTCCTACTTTTGCCCAATTACCACTGGAAGAAATTGTGCCTCTCCTCTTCAGTTCACACCTGGGATGGCCATGGCAGGACCTTGATTTTGTGTTTGTTTTGGATCATTGTCCTGATGAAAGATCCAACCACAGCCCCATTATAAGATTTCTAACAGAGGCAGTCAGGTTTTGATTTTTTATCTCTTGGTATTTGATAGAACAACAAGATGTCCAGGACCTCCGGCAAAAAAATAGGCCCATAACATTAAAGATCAAGCAGTATATTTAACCACAGACATATCCCTGTGTATCCCTTTAAACCCATGTTGTGTGTGCCATAAAGCTCTCTTTTAGTTTCATCTAGCAGGACCCCGTCCCAGTAGTGTCTGGCAACTGAATATGCTGGAATCTAGTGTAGCATTAGTTCTGGAAGGTCACGTTAGTCAAGCTTGCATCAGCTGACTCTCAGCTGATCCCCATCTACCTATGGGAATACGACACCTATCTAAGCATTCATATATAAGGTCCCTCAGTATTATCAGCAGTTTTCGCGTTGCTCAATAGCTAATTACCCTCCTCCATCCCCAACTCCTCCTCTGTCAGTCGGGATTCAGCCTTCTGATTCTCCTTTGAATCAGACTAATTCTAAAATGTGTACATAACATTATTGAACTTTAACGATATCTGCAATACATTTATGTTGGTTCTGTTCCGTTTACCCTGGGGGGGGTATTGCTGTTCTCTCTGCTCTCATCCATGCTAGGCTGCATGGATGCGCAGGGAGTTCTTGCCCAGAACAGAACCATACCGCCAATCCAAACTGTATGCTAATTGTCAATCATCTTTAACGATAGTGGTCCTGACAGAAGTTTGTTTTTTCTTGAAACTGGAGAATTTTTCTTGAAACCCTCTGAAAACAACCTGTGGTGATGACACCAAGACTCAACTAATTTCTGTAATTTTCCAGCTGTGATTCTTGGAGAGTAAAAATATCCTCATCACCTTGCATTAGGACGATGTCCCCTTCCAGGCAGATTCATAACTTCTCCATTTGATTGGAAAATCATAATTATTGCCCTGATGGTGGAAATGGTAATTTTCAATGCTTTAGCTATTTTTATATAGCCACTTTCTATTTTGTGAAGCTCAACAATCTTTTGCTGCACATCAGAACTATATTCTTTGGTTTTACTCATTGTGATGAATGATTAAGGGAATTTGGCCTTTACTCCTGAAACAGGAAGTCATGGTTGGACAATTTCATGTCTGTAGTCACCCTGGTGTACTAATATATGTCAATATGAATGGGAATATACTTCTTAGATATTTTATTCATAAGAGTTTCTAGGGGTGCTAATAATTGTGGCTAACGTATTGGAGAAAAACAGTTACTTCATAATGTGATTTCACACCCACTTTTAATTGTTATACTGTAATGAAAGGCTAGAATTTTTTGAATGAAAGATTAAAAGGATAAACAATTTGCAAAAAGTTAAATTCAAGAACTTTAGGCACGCTGAGCACCTTTTAATAATCCTGAATATTGATCATGTAGGATATTCAATGAAGTGCTTAACTTGCGAGGTGTAGTGCGTCAAAGTGTAGAATGCAATGTATTTGAGCTGATTTCATTTTGCCATGAATTACACAAATAATTTCTAAAAGCAAATAAAATAAAGAATTATATACACCTATATTTTTTGGAAGCGATATTCAAAATGCATTTCACTCAAATATCTGAAAGAGTGCTCCCTTGGTTTGAATGGGCATGGTGCCTCTGGAAAGGTTTTTGGAACTTTTGGGGACAACAATTCTAGAAGAAACAAAAACAGCCTTCAGTATGAGTAAATAAGATTCATATGTGGGCTACAGTGTTGTGTGAGAACAGTTACAGCAGCTTTTGACCTTGAATCACTGGCCCCAGTGTTAATACGCTGTCTGACAGCATTGATCCATTTGGCAAAAAGGGCAACATGGCTAACATGAACTCTGAGTGTTTGCTTGTGTGTCAGTATGTTATGAGAAATTGTGCTTATTCTCTAGGCTGAAAGGGCAAGAACAAAAATAAACACCCAGACATTATTAGTGGCTGTGGGATCAGAGAGAAAATCACAGCTGTAACAGCTGAGCACAGCCCAGAAAAAGTAATAATCCCAGGCTGAAGAAAAACAAAATCACCTCAGACCTTATTTCCTCAAAGCTCTAAAGTATGTAGTATGTACAATTACGTCCCCAAAACATAAGACTGTGTTTGTTTGTGTTAGAGAGTGTCTAGCACACTGAAACTATTCCATAAGCAGGTATGATTTAGGCCAAACGTGACCAACACGTTTCAGTGAATACAACATCTACAATCTAAACATTAGAGGGCGCTTTTACTTTACATTATTGTCACTTGCTGCGTTGCCTAAATACAGAATCAGAATCAAATATAAAAACAAGAAGACACAGATTAAAATAAATAAATGAATTATAATAAATGAAGTATTATAATTTTGTGTGCGTGTGTAATACAACTATACAAATAACGTATTCACAAGAGACAAAATAGAATATGTATAAAAAATCTATATACAGATACATAGATTCAATGTCCTATTTACATAATGTCTCCTTGCAGAAGCAAAGTGCTAATTTATTCTTTCCAAGTCAACTTTTTTTTTTGCTACAGGCATATTTGACAAATCAGAAATTAGAGTTTTTTCAAGAAGGCACGTGTGGGTCTGTAATTTGAAAACTATCCGTCTAGTTAAAAAGTCACCAATGTCTGAGCTAAAAATAACGTTGAAGTTGAGCCTTTATAAGCCAGTCGAATCGGGGGCGTGGCCATTGCGCAGGTAATACCAGACAGACTCCGCCCACTGGGGGGCAGCTCCGCTGTCGTGACGCATCCGGAGGGGGGCGGACGGGGAAGTGCAGCGCAAATAGCGAATGCTGAAAGTGATTAGGAGAGTTTGCACAACAGTGAACCAACAACAGACGTCTGAGACTTGAGTGCCTTAGAGACACACACCTATTGAGCTGCAGGAACGACTTCTGCTTTCTGAATTTCATCGAGGCAATCGGTTGAGAATTCAGAAATGACGGACGCTCTTATTCCCAATGATTGCAAGAGCAACGGACCGGTGGAGAATGGCTACTTTAAAAAGGTAAGAGTGACTCGGAATTTAATTTCTGTTTCTCTCGATGGTTCGGGAGTTGACGATCAATTCATCGGGACTTTTTATTAGTCACTGTCTATATGGTTTAGCTAGTAGGCTACTGTTTTGAAAAGACACGAGCTGTAAGACGTAAAGTGTTGACAAGTGAAGGACTCTGCTCTGATGCCCCCAAACAATGCCAAGCGAAAAAGCACATTTTCTTGTATACCTTCTCATCTGAAGTTTCCTGCTGCTTTATGTATTTATGCATTTATTTATTTATTCACCCTGTTAAACCATCTTCGTTTGGCTTCTTAATATTTACTTAATATTTTTAATATCAATGTCCCTTACAAAAATATCATGGTTGGTTGAGTAACCCTAGTTTCCGACAAAAATGACTCCAGATATTGTTAATACAAGCACAACTGTAATAGCTTGTGATTAAAAGTAAAGGTGCAACTAACTATAATTTTAATAACAGATTAATCTGTCGATCATTTCTTTGATTGATTGGACGAGGAATCGAACAGTTATTAATTATTTTAAAAAATAATAATTTAAAATTAAAATATAAATAATTGTAAACAATTATTTACAGATTTGTTATTCTACACCCTGCCCAGTCAGTGTTGTCCTCGAAATAATGCAGTGCAATTGGAAGGCAATGTAAATAAAGGTAGCAAATGTATCTACTGTATGTAGACTATGTGCTGTTAAACATTATGTGCAAAAAGGGGTTAAACTTCAAAACCAATTGTTTACCGTTTGAAAGTAGTTCAAATAACAAAACATTAAAATCACTAAAATAAAAATAATAATAAACAAAAGCACAGACTAAATGTTAAATGGTACGGAGTAGGAGGAACACATTACACATTAGAAAAATTGATATGTTTGCTAGAATTATTGCATTGCTATCTTTTGCTGAGCAATCATTGTGTTTTGGTGAAAACTGTGGTTACTGTGGTGAATTATTTGAAAGGAATTGTGTACCTTACTCAGAAAGTTGTTTCTGGTATTTGCTTATCTTTTATTTTGATTGATTTCAGCTTTATTTTGATTGATTTCTTTATATTCAGATTCTGCAGCGGTCATGGTGAAAATGGCTCAGTGTGTTTGTAAATTAATGTTTGTTTTTTTTTCTCTTCTCAGTACAGTCCACCCTGAAGTGTGTGTGACTGAAACTGACTGAAGTGTGTGCATGTGTATGGGTATACTTTGGAAGAGTAACTTGCGACAGGTTTCTGGCATTTATCCTGGGTCTTTTATCCTCAGGATTTTTTTTTGTTAGTGTGAATGAAGACTCAAGAGGCCCATTGTCTTTGTTGAGCTCACTTCTCTGTGTCAAGAGTATCTGTTGGGCTTGGTTGTTTAGTGCTTCTTATTCTTATGTTTGATATCAAACTGGACCAGCACAGTGATCAGTTCCTACAGTTTCTCTTGAAACGTTTTTCTGAAGGCCCCTTGTATGCAAAACATAGAGTGAAACAGAAAAATGAACCACAGACTGGGTTTTCTGAGTTAATGTGGGCAAAAATGGTTGTGTTACAGCATGGATGGTCGGATTTTAGAGGAAAGGCATTTTGTTTAGTCTGCTGCTGGAAGTGGTCGTGTTTGTTTCGTATATTTCCTGTGTCTCCGTTTCATTTGTTACATTAATTCTTTGAAAATGAGCCGCTTGCAGCGAGAAGGTTTCAGGCCCGTTACCAGGTGGGGGCTGGTTCAGAGTGGTGATGTGGTTTTGGTCCAGTTCCGCCTGAGCTGATCCTGCTTGGGCTACGGGGCTTGGAGAAACTGAATCGCAGATTCGGCATGTTTTTCCAGTTTTCTTCCTATTAACGTTGCATCTGCCCAGTGAAAGTGCTTGGCAAACCACAAACATTAATGAAACACAGATGCTCCAATTTCTTGTCCCAGCACAGGCAGGAGAAGCTGTTCCGAGCTTTACGATTAGTATAACATGGCTTCTGAACATCTCACAGCATTACGCAGATTGAGTAAAGTGATCAAATAGCAACCAACAACCTCGAAGAACCAAGAAACAGTGTGTCTTAACAAAAATGAATCATTCATCAGAATGAAATACGCTTTCTGTTGCATAACTCTTTAATGGGTGTTTACTGAAGCCCAACTTCATTACCCCAATGCAGAGACAGAGCAGTTAGTCACATTTAGAGGCACATTTAGATGTCCTATGGCTGAAAATAGAAATAAACATTTGTTACTGTGGTCTTGTATTTGTTTATTTATAACAGTTGCATAATGTTGGAATACTTATACATCTTAATTGATGCCCTGTTTTCTGTCTCATCTGTGCCCTGGTTTGATTAGGACCTTGTTTCTGCTCTGACTGCATTGTTAGTCAGGTGTAATTGTATGATTGTGACTGTGGAATGCAGTTGTGCTGGCAGCTCTTTGGTTCTGCTCGGCTAAACATCAGCCTGGTCAGTGTTCTAGAATGTGCAGAGGTCATGTTGGATGCTTTTGATAACCACTATTGCATGTATTGAGACAGCCCATGTTTACCCCTCAGCAGGCTATGGTTTTAATCTTGTTTCAGATTGCTACTCTCACACTCAGTCCAGTTGTTAACAAAAGTGACTACCAAATTATATAATTTAGGTGACGTGCTTACATTTTTCTAGGCATTTTCAGTTCAAGCTGTATTGTGTGAGCAAAACCGCACTGGGCAGCTTGTTGTCTGTCATCATGTTATTCAATACGAGAGGAACTCTGCACTGCACATGTTCGTGTCTCAAGTGTGGGTGTTTTTTTTTCATGAGGGGTTCTGGTAACTCATAGAGATGGAGATATGAGCTGTGTGTCATCTGAAACTTTTAGATATAGTTGCTGCCTGTCTTCTACCAGAGATGTTCTCACCTGCACCTACAAATGAAGTATTTCAACACCACAGTACAGTAATTAGGATTTGATAGATAAACCTTGATTGTAGTTGTTATTAAATGTTTAGTCAAATAAGACTCATTTACTTCAGTCATTGTCACTGGACTTCTAGATGTTATTAAAGGGGTGATATTATGCTATTTTAAAGATCATTCTTTTGTGTATTTGGTGTAACAGAATATGTTGACATGCTTTAATGTTCAAAAAACACATTATTTTTCAAATACTGTACATTATTGTAGGTCCTCTATGCCCCGCCTCTCTCAAACGCTTCGTTTTCTACAAAGTCCCTCCTTCCGACAAGTGCAGTCTGCTCTGATTGGCCAGCTACGCCCCTTACCATAATCGCGAGCTTCAGCTTTCAAAATAAATGTAAAGACAGAGCCCGAAAGGGGAACAGAGTCGCGTGACAGACACAGTGATGAAGCTGGTATGTGTTTGTGATGTGACCTCTCTCTCTCTCGCGCTCTCTCTCTCGCGCGCTCTCTCGCGCGCTCTCTCTCGCGCTCTCTCTCTCTTTCTCTCTCTCACTTTCTCGCTCTCTCTCACTCTCGCTCTCTTTTTCTCTCGCTCTCTCTCTCTCTCTCTTTCGCTCTCTCTCTCTCTCTCGCTCTCTCTCTCTCTCTCTCTCTCTCTCTCTCTCTCTCTCTCTCTCTCTCTCTCTCTCTCTCTCTCTCTCTCTCTCTCTCTCTCTCTCTCTCTCTCTCTCTCTCTCTCTCTCTCTCTCTCTCTCTCTCTCTCTCTCTCTCTCTCTCTCTCTCTCTCTCTCTCTCTCTCTCTCTCTCTCTCTCTCTCTCTCTCTCTCTCTCTCTCTCTCTCTCTCTCTTCTTTCTTTGCGTGTACATTTGGGCGGCATTATGCAAATATTTCCACATAGTGAGGTAGATATGTGGGGGCGTGTTAGAACGAGCCGTTTTAGGGGGGTGTGGCAGAGTCTTAACTTTGATAAAGTATATCTCTTTGGTTTTGAGACTTTAGTCTTTGCAACTTCAGGGATCTTATCTATGCACAATCAGCTTGTAACACTCCAAAGAGAAAGGAAAACTTGAAATCGCATCATATGACCCCTTTAACAGCTGTCTCACAAATACAAAATGGGATTGACTTTGGTTATGTGTGCATACAGAGTGTATTCGAACTGCTACTGTAAGCTGCTGCATGAACATCACACCTGTTAGTGCAATCACATTAGCAAAATTTGGGCTAATGTTCATGATCAGAAAAGGTCCATTGTCCATTCTTAATAGTATAGCAATGCATGAAGCACCATTTACCCAGAGGTCAATTCAAACCAAGCTGCTTTTGTTGACCAACATGGGAAATTTGTGGGAGCAACTTGAACCCGATGCAGAATTTTTCAATTTCTCTTGAAATTCCTGATCGCACAGATTCCTATTGAAATGACTGGATTTTAAACTTGCAATTTGTGAAAAATGTTACCACACATTTAGTACACTTGTCAATCCTAAACATTAACTGTGTGAACGAAGTCAGTAGCTACACATTAAAGGGGTCATATGACATTGCTAAAAATAACATTTTTTGTGTATTTGGTGTAATGAAATGTGTTTATGCGGTTTAAGGTTAAAAAAACACATTATTTTCCACATACTGTACATTATTGTTTCTCCTCTATGCCCCGCCTTTCTGAAACGCGTCGATTTTTACAAAGCTCATCGGTCTGAAAAGCGAGGTGTGCTCTGATTGGCCAGCTATCCAGTGCGTTGTGATTGGCGTAAACATAAAACCATGTCTGCATTTGTGATCAGAGAAACGACAAACAACAAGCGCTACTCTTTACTGCTTAAAACTCGTGTTTGAATCATCCGTGGCAAATTCTTTAAATATAAAAACTTACTTACAGTCTGTGAGTCAGAACAGAGTAGTAGTCTACTCTCCCAGGAAACAGTACTCCATAAAATGCGCTGGACACATCTGAATATTTGGGTTAAACTGTTCTGGAACAGTGTTGTAAATACAACTTAACCACTGATTTCTAGTCGTGTCCTCTTTTGGAAGGCCAAACAAAGTAGTTTCACTTTCACAACGAAACACAGCGTCACACACTGCGGGTTTGAGTGAGGAACGGCCGGCGGATTCGACAAAGGAGCGAATCGGGCTTGCGGCAACCACATGTGACGACCCCGGGCTGGACTCCGCTTCGTCCACGGTGAAAGCCGATCTGGGGATCCACAGCGCGAAGTTGATGTATTTTTTCAGCGACCAGCACGGATCAGCTCTAGGCATGACGAAGCGGATATCGTCCTCAATTTTGGAAGGCCAAACAAAGGTTTTTCGCTTTCACAACGAAACACACAGCGCCTTCACGACATGGCGGTTGCGGCAACAACAATACTACAGCGAGAATAAAAGTTACGCCTTCTTTCTTTGCGTGAACATTTGGGCGGCGTTATGCAAATCTTCCCACATCGTGACGTAGATATGTGGGGGCGTGTTAGAACGAGCCGTTTTAGGTAGGCGTGGTTGACTCTTGACTTTTATAAAGAATAACTTTTTGGATTTGAGACTTTAGTCTTTTCAACTTTACAGATTTTCTTTATGCACCAAGAGCTTGTAACACTCCAAAGAGAAAGGAAAAATTGAAATTGCAGCATATGACCCCTTTAAGCAGCAAATTACAGTAAAATTGCCAGTTTGACTTTCCCTAAATACACCAAATTTGCTGTTCACACAAGGAACAAACAGTATCTAAGAATCGAGAAATCAGTTGTTGAGAACTTGAGTTATTAGGACTGAATTATTATAAAATAGACATTTAGACACTTCCACCCTTCAAAGCTGGTGCTCTTTGCTCTGTGCTCAGTCATAGCAGTACGTTTTCACTGTAGAATCTTATGGAATGTTTGTCAAGATAAGAGCAGTAAGAGGTTTGCTATTTTAACCATTCTAGATTGATACCAGCCTCCTATAAATCAGACCTGCTCCCTCAGCTATCAAATTTATGACATACTCTCTCTATAGGTGTGTCTGGGAGGCAAATTGATCTCGTTACGTCATGTACTGGGTAAGCCACACCTTACAAACATAAGGTGTATGTGTCGGCTGGCATGTGCTTGTGTGTTTATCATTAATAGGCACAATGTAATGCAGTTGTGCTTTATAAGAATGTTCACACTCACAGCATTTATAAAACAGGCAAAATTGTTTATTTCTTTCTCTTTCTCCTTCTCTTTCTCTGACAGGGATGTAATCCATTTGCTCAGACAGGCCGCAGTAAGCTGCAGAATAAAAGAGCACGTCTCAACCAGCAAATCATCAAGCAGATGAGGATGAGAGCTGGAGCAGAGAACCTTCTCAGGTAAGTCAAGCACTTTTATGTGTGGACACAAACACAAGGGTAAATGCTCATTCATCACCCTTACCTCGCTTGTTAGCCTACGGGGACATGTGTGGATATGCACACAAATGCAGGAAATCTTTCCCCCCCAAAAAACAGTGTTTTTTTTTAAAGAAGGTTCCATAGTCTTTCACTGATAGTTTATCTTTGGTTACATAATAGCATCTGTCTAGAAGTATCTGGCACTGGACCGCAGAGCACTGACTCTTTCGGGTGAATCACTGCCCTGTTTTTGAGGAATCCTCTGCTCTTTGTGCAGTGAGGTTTCAGTCAGATGTCTTGCTTCTAACTTGTCGTCAAAGTATTTCTCTTTTTGTGTGTGTGAGTGTGTGCAGAAGCAAATATTTCTGGAGCTCATCTGTAATCTGATCTGGCAGTCAGTTGTGCCTTTAGCATTTTTACCTTTAGATTTGGAGTTGATGATAGACACAGTAACATTGTGACTTTGTTAAAGCTGATTACTAAAGAGACTGGGAATTGCTATATATGAGATTTTCATTTTTCAGACCTTATACCTGTGAAGCCCATAGAGTCTTTGCTAGGACATTGAAACCTGAAACCATAATATCTTAAACTCAAATATAAACTTTCTTTGCTTAGAAACATTTAACACGCAAGTCATTTTCGAACATTTTAGCAGCCAGCTGTCAACTGTGAAACGCTGGCACTGATTTGAATGGTAACCACCGGTCAGTCATGCATGCTACTATAGCTGATCCAGACGAGAGAGGAAAACTGTGTCTTGACTAAAAAACATGCAAAGTATAATGCAAATATTTTTTAGTGTCACCTTTCTGGTGTCCTGTAGCACGTCAAGGGGAAGAAGGTTTTCGTACAAATTAGACATAAAAAATGATAAATTATATTCACAGAATGTTAAATGCCTTTCTAAAATGAATCATTTCGAATTTGAAATTTGAATCATTGTTAATAATGATATATCGGTCTATAAACAGGCTGCATGTTTTCTGTTGTATCAGTTTGTAACTAGCAATGTGTTTTGAGTAGTGATTCAAATTCTTGGCCAAAACTCAAATCCAAAACCAAAAATGGTGATTTTAATATAGCCTTTTTTTAAAATGAATAATACAATACATATACAGTGGGTACGGAAAGTATTCAGACCCCCTTAAATTTTTCACTCTTTGTTATATTGCAGCCATTTGCTAAAATCATTTAAGTTAATTTTTTTTCCTCATTAATGTACACACAGCTATTTCTAAGTGAGTACACTCACTTCCTTCAATTGGCATTCAATTGACTTAATGACAAAATAGACTAATTATACCCCAACAGTATAATTATGCATGTGTCAGTGTTGATCAGTGTAATTTTTTTTTGCGCACACTGCTATGATGTACAGTAAACAGAATGCCATTACCTCAAAATAACTCTCACATTGTTTATTTAGATTAACATACACTACCATCTTTAATAATTTAATAAAGTCTCTTATGCTCACTAAGACTGCATTTATTTGATCAGAAATGTAATGAAACCTTTAATATTTTGAAATGCTGTTACAATTTAAAATAAGTGTTTTCTATTTTGATGTAATTTACTTCTGTGATGGCAAAGCTGAATTTTCAGCAGCCATTACTCCAGTTTTCAGTGTCACATTATTGTTTAGAAATCATTCTAATATGCTGATTTGATGTTCAAGAAACATGTATTATTATCAATGTTGAAAACAGTTGGGCGCTTATGGAACAGCAGCGATACAGCGTTTCCTTGGTTACCGCTGTAAACAGCAGCGCTGCACTTATAAATACATATGGAGGCAAGATGAAAAGAAAATACCATCTAACTTTTCTGAAGATAGTCGGTTCCCCTCAGAGACAAAGATACATTAATATAAACCCCCACTCTCAATTTTATTGTGATTCATTTAGTAGTTCACTTCCAGAATGAAAATTCTGTCATCATTTACTCACCCTCCACTTGTTCCAAACCTGTATGAGTTTCTTTCTTCTGTTGAACACAAAAGAAGATATTTTGAAAAATGTTTGTATCCGAACAGTTGATGGCACCATTGACTTCCATAGTATTTTTTTTCCTACTTTGGAAGTCAATGGTGCCCATCAAACTTCTTTTGTGTTCAACTCAGAAAGTGAACTACTCCTTTAACATCTCAACTGACTTGAATCGTCATATATTTTTATCGATTTTCAGCCGGCTTGGTGTGCATCATTATATCACTACTGTAAATGTTGATGCAAATTGTGTCAAGAAAATGTAATGTTCTGTTTTAAAGGACAAGGAAGCTCTGATTGTACTTTGGTTTGTAGGACATAATTTGCCTGATTTGTAACTGGCCAGTGCTATCAGACTTATATAAATGAAACATAAGCCGACATGAAACATTGCGATCTAATCAGCAAACACCCACATTCATACCTGTGCAGACATTCAGAATGGACGGGTACTTGTGAAGTTTACAGAACAGCTGTTGCATCTTGTTGTGAAACCCCCTGCTTATACATTACCTCTCTCAAAAGTTGCCAGTGTTTTTCCCTTTACGATGAGCACACACTGTAACATTGGACAAACCAGTCACCATGGGGATGTTAAGTGTGTCTGTTGTCTCCATGGTTTTGAAGGACACGCCTGCTGGGTTGGTTCTTGGAGCGAAGCATGTGATTGGCATTGACGTCAAAGTGGCTTTAAATCTTATTAGAACAATAACATTTGGACAAGCTCTTTTCAATTAGAAACCATAAGCGAGTCTCCTTTCTTTTCCTCTCTGTGGGTTAATGATATGTTTGGGCTGTACCCTATGTTTGTTGAGTTATTGTCATCTGGCATTGGCTGCAGTTTGGATGGATATTGTGAGTTGGCTGACTGAAACCTGGTAGAAAACAAGGCTGGATCCAAGCTGATACAAGGGTTTGGAGATTTTAATTACAAAGGAATGCTTCTAAAGTTAATGAAATTCCCACTAGTCAGCAGGTGACAGTGAGGTCATTGCAGTGCTAGGATGTGTTTGCAAATGGCCCTGAGGTCTTCTGTCAGCCTGTTTAACACGTCCACGCAGACACGCACGCAGACTCTTAAAAACATGTCAGCAGAAGCAGTTAAAATTCAGCTTTTTGAGAGGGGATGGCAGTGCGTCTCTCACACGTGCACGCAAACACTGCCTGAGGATCTCTCTGTCGATAGTTCAGTGAAACACTCTAATTGCCTCTGTGTTTAATGTGTGATTCAGATCTAAAGAAGGCCTGGTCTGTATTGTAATGATATACATGAGTTAGGTTCATAGCCCTTCATTAGAGCAGGATGTCTGAGTGTTTTTGGTTACCTGAGCTCATTCATTTTGGGATGGGGTGGGGGTGGATGCTTGCTCAATCTCTTTACCTTCCACTCATAGCTGTTCTCTCTTCAGAGCTGATCTGGAATGTTCCTTCATTCATGGGTCTCAGAGGATTGTGGTTCATGGAAGAAAGGATAGCCACATAATAGATCAATTGTTAGGTAGTCGTCTGCTTTTATTAACCTCCCTCCCCCCACATGTTTACCATAATTTTTCTTTCTTTCTCTCTGTCTGTCTTTCTCTCAGATCTTAAGTGGCTGTAGTCCACATTCTTGTGTGTGTGTGTGTGTGTGTGTTTGTTTGAGTGAGCTCACAGGCCCGACCGGTTTCACAGACTGCTGATTTTGTGGGGTCCCGCCCTGCCAACGTGACTCTGAGTTGGTGTACAGAATAATACTTTATACACCTCATGAGGTCTTTAAAAAAATTCTGACCCCTTCTGCTGTTGAAACTGCACCACTTACTCTATTACATAGAAAATGTGAAAAGCAGAGAGAGGTGCAAGTAATCTTCCATTCCCAGTTGACATTTCCATGTGCTTCCATCAGTGAGAGATGTGTTAGGTATTCAACAAAGAACAAACATGACTCATTAAAGTAATATTTACTTTAAAATTAAAGAACATCCTGATCTGCATTATGTCATAGGCCTCGGGACTCGCTAAAATAAATCATGTCATTACATGTAACAGATGGAATCAGCAATATTCCTCTGTATCTTAACATTATCTTACTATTTATTTTTGTTTGTTTGTTTCTAATAGTTTTTACACTTTGCTATGTTTTTCATCATCAATAACAATATTGTTAACACTGTTAACAATATAATAATAAGTTTCTTTATTACTTAATTTTAATTTCACCTTTTTGTTTGCTCTCCATCAATTCTGTCTTTTATTATTATTATGAAGCAGGTCATCCTCAAGCTTGTTACATTTAGTTCTGATATTTTATCTGGTTTTATGTAGAGTACTTTTTGTAATGCTTTTTCATTGTAAGGCACTTTGAGCTGAATTTTTGTTTGAAGCTATTACAGCGCTATACAAATAAAATTGTTAATAATAATAATTAATAGTAATAAATACTGTATGTGATTAGTATATAATTACATATTTTATTATATAATAAAGGATTCTTTAGGATTCTCTCTTTTCCCCTCAGGTGAGTATGTTTGAGAACCACTAGGCATGTATGTGATTAAAATAGGAGACAGTGATTAACAGTTTGGCACAAGTGTGACGTTGCCTGTTTGAATAAGAGGTCAAAAGTCTCTGGTCCAACCTGACCTGCTCACCTTCATTTCGCTTCCTCCCATTGTCCAGAGTTTAGAATAGCAGGGTCACTATGCAAATGTTCCTCTGTGACTCTATAAGGTTTTGCATTTTATTGACTGTAGTTAGGCATATTTCTCTTTTATGTTTAGTAAGTGTTGTATCAGGATTGTGCAGTTGAATTCTAAAGTCTTTTCTTCGACAAATGTGGCTGTACTACCCACTCTCCACTTATATCATGTGCTTGGGAGCACACAAAATAACAAAGACTCCCGTCTTATCAGCCTCTTCCTTCTGTACTGTAGATTTTGAGGAGTTGCATATGACCTTCGATTATCCTCTCTCTTTCTCTCTTTCAAGGGCGACGTCCAATAATAAGGTTCGGGAGCAGGTGGTGCTGGAGTTGAGTTATGTCAACTCAGATCTGCAGCTTCTTATGGAGCAGCTGGAAGGTCTCAACAGCTCTGTGGACGTTTATCAGAACGTACAGTAAGTACATGCAGCACTGATTATGATGAAGAAAGTTACAGTGAGAACATTCTTAAGTCAGATTAAGATCCATTCTAGAGACAGAATGCACAGTTACTGCTCTTAATCGTAATCTTAATCACACATGCCCAGTTCCTCTGGACACATGGATCCTCCCTGAGGTATTACAGTAATGTAAGAGGTGTGTACAGAACGACATAAGAGCAGCTGAACTCTCTGCTCACTGCCCTGCAATATCACATTTTCTGTACTGACCTCTGGATATTTAAATATGGATAATAAGTGTTAAACAGAACAGAGAGGACCACATGGTTATTAGTAGTTAGAAGTGTAATCAAACGGACCAAAATATTTCATTGATAATGAGGATGTGTAATATTTTGTGAATGATAGGTGTTTGAATTTGGTGGAAATCAGCAAAGCTTTTTTGAAATTTCTGTGGCTACATATTCCACGTAGGCTGATTATTATTATTATTATTATTATTATTATTATTATTATTACTATAGGACAGTCTCCTCTACTTTTGCTACCCATGCTTTTCTTTATTAAAAACACTGAACAGCCCACTCCTTATACTTCTCCTGTGAACTTGCCTTAAGTTTAAAGAGAAGACAAGAAATGGGCTCATTGGTCAATCAGTTTCTTTCTACATTAATTCCCAATAGAACGAGACTCTGTTCCACATAACTGATCAGACGGGTTTATGAGGAGGTGGTTTGACAGGTTGAGATCGTTCTTTCATACATGTTTCCCCCTCACGTGTCAGAAGAGGATGCAAGAGTGTTTTCCTTTTCATTTTAATTCTGTTTCTGTTGCTTTTTCCACGGTATCACAATTATAGCATGTATGACAAATTCTCTTACTGCCATCAAATTCTCTTCTGTCAGTTACTTGTTAACAATGTCTTGGCTAAAAATGGTCATACCTTAAAACAGATAGCAGTAGAGAGAGAAATGCATGTCGTCTATATTCAAGGATGTTCAAGGACGTTCAAACCCTACAGCCAAAATTAAAGGATTTTTCATTCAGCGTGATTTGTCATGCTGTCTATATTTTGTGTTCAGATTGTAGACCTTGAGTGTGTTTCCTTGGTTACGGTTGGATTCTTGTCCTCTTTAAATCCTCTCTAAGCCCTCTTTTGCCTCTCAGGCCGCTGCGAGTGAGAGTGTGTATGCACGTATGCACCCTTGAGTGTCTTTGGCATGCTTCACTGTCTGCACGAGAACAGGCGTCTTTCTCCGCTCTAAGAAAGCTCAGCCATATTTTCAGCTCAGACCCTGCTTAACTAATCTGTGCTGGCCTAGTTTTTTTCAGTATTAGCTTCATAACCTGTTGAGGCTTACAGCCTCAGGTTTGTTCCTCTGGGCCAAGCACTAATGAAAGAGTGTTTATCCTCTGTGCCTGGAGGGTTCATAGTAAACCAGAAAAACCTCCTGCAGACATTTGCACCTGATTCTGAACTGCTGACCTACATCCTTAATTACAACTCACCGTAAAGCTGTAAACATGAGAGACAATCACTCACTTTCATGTCGTTCCAAACTTGAATGACTTTCTTTCTTCTGCGGAACACAAAAAAAAAGATATTTTGAAGAATGTTTTAACTGTTTTTGTCCATACACTCTAAAAATTTTCAAATCAACTTTCAAATCAAAGCTAAATAAAAATAAAAGATTATTGGAGTATGTTTTACAAGAAAATACTATTTCAGTGTTTCTACTTCAAAATTTCACATTCAATGTGTTATTTTCCCTTTCTTTTAAACAATTTTAACTAATTACAAAGTAAATCAATGTGTAATGAAAGTCAGTGGGGTTCAAAACAATACTACATCCCCTTGCATGGTCAAATAACAAAATATGTTATTGGAAAAACATCTCATTTTTATTTTTGGGTGAACTGTCCCATTTGGCAGAACCATAGTTTGTTTATTTATATTTTTTTATAGAAGAATTTAGCTCTCTTAGTCTATATGATGTTCTGTAATATATGTGACCCTGGAGCACAAAACCAGTCTTAAGTTGCTGGGGTATATTTGTAGCAATAGCTAA